TCATGTTAGCAGTATTTGGCTTTTGTTTTTTCTTTCTTTTCCTTATTTGTCAGTCTCACTGTCCGTCTGTCTCACTGTATAGGAACAAAGACAGATACAAGCAATTCTGTGACTAGCTGTTTTGAACTGGTGAAATACACTTTTCAACTAGCACAAAATTCACATTAAAAAAATAAACATTGTCTTTCTACCATCAATTTTTTCTCATATAAAATTAATATTTTGAATTTAACCAAGAAAAATACACTGTCAAGAAATATAAACAGATTTGGCATGACTTAAAATTTTTAACTCCCTGTTGCTTTTTAAATTTTTTAGGGGTTCTTAACATATTTTTGTATTTTTTATATTCCCTGCTCTTTAACTGAAAACTTTGTTTATTTTCTATTACCTCAACTACCCAGGCTTTTTCTAATTTTCTTTACATTTTAGAATTTTAATTTTAGAGTCACTGATTGTAGTTGGTCTACAAATCAGAGTGAAACCTTGAATTATATTGTAATATTATTGAAAGCCGTGTTTTAAAATCTGATTATTTTTATATAAATCATTTGGTCTAACAGCTTGCTTGTTTTGAGATAAGTGTAGGTGGGCATAGTACAGACACCGTGTGCAATGAAATAGCTGTGTGCTTTTTAGCTTCAACAGTAGAGCTAGAATAAATTCCATCTTCATATTCTTTTCTGTTGAACTGCATGCAGCGATCCATGGCTGGGCAGTGTGTTGGAAACGCCCCAGTAGCATTCCTTCAGAATTTTGATGTTAAATGTGTTACTAGTCTGTCAGCTTACAAGGAAGGATTGTCTCATAATGTGATGATAACCAGTGGTACTGGAGGTATGTTGTGTTTGCTTTGACAAAATGTACTGATATTGATTTAAGAATAGATATAGTAATCTTAAAGTCCTAATATTGACAATATGATATCCTGCATTATTTTTGTTATGATCTAACAACTTCTCCCTTGCAAGGCATTTTAGCCATTCAACTGTTGACTGACTGGTTATTGTGGCAAGCCCCCTGCTGTAGGGTCCCCAGATTCAGGATATGAGACTTTGAGCTTGGGCTATGACTTCCTCAGTTTCCCCTCTCCCACCAAAAACAGATTTTGACCCCCCATCAAGAGCATTCCTTTTATGTATTCATACTGTTGTAAGAGCTTTTTTTTTTTCCCCCCAGCCAAGGGCAGACACTATTCTCCCTTTAGAGTTAGCCATAAGTGGCTTCTTTGTAACACTTTGTTCTCCTAGTGTAGAAAGCATTGTCTCCTGGGTCTCAGATATATTTACATTACCCCCTGGCCATTGTGCCAGCATGAGGACAACATATCTTAAGTTGTTTGCCAATAAATTTCCAAGGTAAGACATTCTCTTTACACTGTAAAATACTCCCCCCACCTCACTTCTTGTCACATGTTGCACTTCTGTGGGAGTATATTAATCCTTCAAAACACCATACATTATCATTTAATGAGAAAGATCTGATTATAATTAGAAAATAGAGAGTGTCAGTATAATTATTGCTCTTCTGAAAGTGTATTATACAACTAGTGGCTTAAAGTGTCTGGGCCTAATTCAGTCTTCCTGTTGTACCTGAGTATCTGAGGGCATTGCTTGGGTCCGTTATATCACTCTGGATCTTAATAGAACAACTCAGCAAAAATTGCTTATTTTGTTGTGTCATATAAAGCATGCTCTTTCAGAGGAACCTGTTGTGGTGTAACGACTGTATAGTCTTTTACTGAGACCTGCTGGTTTATTTTCTAACTCATTCTTTTATAGTTTAATAAATCCTCTATCTTGGATGAGGAAACAGTATGAGGCTGTGTCTCATTTGCTAGTTAGACTTGCTGCATTTACTGTTTTTCTTGTCAGACACTGTCCAACAAAATGTGATCTATGGGAATGTAACTGATGTACGTAACTTCATCACTAAACCAGGTATGTTTTCTGTACTCATATTATTCTTACCATTCTTAAAGAGACAAGGAGTTGATGATTAAGTTAAGATGTTAAAAGAGATCTTTGCAATTACCTGAAACTTTAAAAAAAAGAAAAACAAAAAAAATTATTGTGCTATGCAAATTGAAAAATATTAGTCTTATCCATCTCCCTTTGAAATCTATGTAAAGAAGTCTATTGACTTTAGTGGGAGTTGTATCAGACCTGTAGTCCTTATACATCTTAGCCAGTCGCAAAAGTAATTTTATAGAACTAAAAATGAACAGTTGTAATGGAGTTAAGATGTAAGGATCCCTTTGGCTATATTTAAAGTTTACACTCAAGTATAATAGTTGAGCCCCATCCACATGCAGATGTATAGATTGGTATTTTGAAAGACCTCCTTTCTCATTAAATGTATCTTACAGCCAGTTGATCTACACTTTCATGCAGAAGATCTCCAGGCTAGAAGAGTGCATCATAGATGCTCTGAGCTGGCATGGTATCATAATAACTAAACACTAAAACGGAGGTGTTTTTGTTTTTCAAAAAAAGTTAGAATGAAGGCTGTTATGCCCAAGATTTTGTTAAAGATAGTTTTTTATTGCATTCTGTAGAAAATCTTCCTTAAGGCATAATAACCTCTTTCATTAGTATGGTTTCCATCATTTGAACTGTTCTTTTCTTTGCAGAAGACATTCAGTCTACTGAGGTTTTATGTACAAATGTGACCTTTGCAGAATATTATATGTTCATATGGAAAGGCAAGACAATAGAGGAAATAAATGTCACAGTCCTCATTGGAGAATTATGTGATGGAGGTACTGTAATGCATCTCTACAAAATTGCTTATTCAGAAATAGTTTTTTTCTCAGCATAGAAGTTTTGTGAAAAATACTTTTAATCAAACATCAATTTGAAATAGAATTTTCCATTGGGCTAAGAAGAGCCGGGTGGTGTCTGGTTGGTATATTATTTGTTTTAGGTAGTTATTTCTTAGAATATCAACCTCCAATCATTGATTATGTACTGTTTACACAAAAAAGGCATGTCAGTGGCCTGCATTGCTGGATTTGAGAAGCTTCACAGAAGGTGTAAATTAGCTTCTGAAATCATATAATCGTATATGAGCACGCACAATCCAAGAGTGTGGGTCTAAATGGCAGCTGCTGGTTGATGTGTATGTCAGTTAACAAGACTTTTGTGACTGGGGGGTGGGGGAGAGGGAGTTTAATTTTTGATGCAATTGCTTTTTTAAATAACAAAAATATTGCAATGGACTACTTTTTTGCTAAGAAATTATTTACTTTTTTCTTTTAATAGAAATACTGACACAGAGATTTTCAGTAAACTTTGTAAGCTTCAATACTACTAATACAACAGAGCTATCTGGGAATCCAGGTAATACTACTGTTTTATTTTAAGCTTCTATTGGCTGATGGGGGAAGGGAAAAAAAATCTTTTTTTATTGACAGCCATAACCAGTTGTGCCCAATTTTATTTCTTATATCCCTCTCATTTCGTCTTAATGTTGATCATCACAGCCTCCCTGTTTTCTGCCCTGCCACTGTTAATATTGATAATGCTGAAAAGTATCATCAGATATTGTGGAACTAAAATATTAGGGTCTGATCGTGAAAACACTACCAGGCATAGTGCTTGCTACTGTGTGTATTCCCATTGACATGATGCATTAGCAGTTTTCATCCTAATGCTCCCTTGAATGTTGAATTAGAATCTTGCTCTGTGGCTGCATAGGAAGATAGAAGAGAAGAGGCTTTCTTTGCCCTCTTTCCTCTCTTCCATAGTGCAGCCAGCTAACACAAGGTAGAATTTGGCTCTTACTGTTTTCTGAAAGTCGTTAATACTCTTTTGTTTGAAGTTAAACCATTCTTGCTGTAATGAAAAGTTCTGTTTAGATGTGAAACTAAGCACCTAATCAGTCAATTAGGGTTCCCCAACATGTTCAGAATTGTAGGATACAATACTTCTAGCAAAATGAGAAGGCTTCATGATTATACTACTAGGCACTTTTAGAAAGTATTTTACAAACACTAACTAATCCTCACAACACTCTTATGGGAGAGTAATTGAGACTAACTATAATACCTAACTCTTATACAGTGCTTTTCAGCAGTAGATCTCAAAGCGCTTTACAAAGGAGGTCTGTATCATTATCCCTAAGGTCACAGAGTAGCTAGGGAGCCAAGATTAGAATCCAGTAGTTCCTAGCCTTCATTTCTGAACTCAATTCACTAGACCATGGCACCTTTAAGAACTTGGGGAGTTTTATGTATTATAAAAATGTTTGTCAATGCTGATTAATTCTTATAAAACTTTCACAATTTCTCTTTCTGTGTTTAGGTTACCAAGTTGGCAAACCTGTTAGAGCGGTAAATATTTCTTCTGATACTGTTACCACTCTAAAACTTTGGCAGCCAGGTACTACCTTTTGATATGCTGTTTTAATCACAACTGCAATATAAACCAAAAATACTCTAATTTTATTATGTTTTGCTTCATTTTTTTTTTATGTTGGCCTTCCCAGACTGCTCTGAGTTGCTAATCTAATGTTTCTTGGAATTTAGATAAATTTATAATAGAAACTCCAAATACAATTAAATATACAAGTATAAATCAGATTTTCCTATATCATAATTATATTTTGTATATAGTGCTCTTTCTTGAATAAAAGACCACTACTGAAATACTAGAAAAATATACTAACAGATAATATGAAGTATTGTCATTTATATGGAAGTGCAAGACATACGCAATAAAACAAAGCATTGAAGAATCTGTAATTTTTAAGATGCTACAAATGAAAATGGATGGACACTTAAGATAAATAGAATTTTAGTAGTACTGTATTTGAGCTAAACTGTTTTAGCATTCTAAATCAAAGTAGCTTTCTACAAATTTGCATGCTAGAGACTGAAAAGTTGATATGAGAAACACAAATGGATGTTTTCATTTTGTAGTTGGCAATGGTTTGTGTACATCAGCAACTTTCACACCAGTTCTGTTTGGATTAAATTCACTATCTGGATGCGTTTTAGAAGTGAATATTAATGAAGATTGCGGTCAGTTAAGGTGAGGTATATGTGGGTTGTCCTGTCCTCCTATTTCTCCCCCACCCCCCTTCATTTGTGGCTTTAAATATTTATAGAACTCTTATCTTAGCATTCAAAATAAGAAACCGATGCACTTTAACTAATTTGAAATTATTATAGTGGTGGGTTTTTGTTTTATCTTACTATAGCCAATGCTGCAAAACTGTTCCCATACAAGCCTCTTATATCCACACATTCATATTTTTCTAATTACCAGTATGTAACTTTTGGGTTTGAAAATGGCTATTTTTAGAGCCTTTCTAAAGAATTTTTTTAGTAGTTTCAGCAAAATCTTTAAAGTTGTTTTGGAGTTGGGAGAATGTCAATAAAATGAATTTTCCCCATTTAAAAAAAAAGACCTATTTTTTTTTCCACTGGAATAACTCAAATAGCTGAAATTTGTTTTTTGTTAAGTGCCTGTACTGAGAATTTTGAAACTTCAAACTACTAATAAATATCTCTTGTTAAAAATCCCCATGGGCCCCCATTTCTATAATCTCTGAGCACTCCACAATCTTGAATGTATTTATCCTCACAACACCGTTTGGAGCTAGGGCAATGCTTGTATCCCCATTTTACCCGATGGGAAATGGAAGCACACAGGAAATCTGTGAGAGAGTTGGGAATCAAACCTAGGTCTCCAAAGTCCCACACTAATGTTCAAAGCACTGGACTAGCCTTCCTCTCTAGGGATGGGTACTTAATTACAACAAATGCTGGATACCCTTGTTTTACATCTCATTCAGAAAATGGCCCCTCCAGTAGCATAGCAACTCATTGCATCATGCTTGGGCATGGAGTTTACTGGTTCAAAAGGAAGTGTGTCACCTTACTGAGTCATCCGCATCAATTCCAGCAGCACTTGGGTTTTCATATTGGATCTCCTGTACAAGTACTGACAAGATCTAATAAAATCACAGCCCAGAGTGGTATAGATGTAGGTTTATTTGTAATGTATTACAACATGAGTGTTTTGCAGGGAGGATGTAACTGATAGACTTAATTCATTAATACAAGCTACTCATGTTGGGAAGAGAGGCAACTCAAGTTACAGTGATCTAAATGACTTGGTGGAAATAATACGTAAGTCAAAGCTTCATCTTGTTATCTGTATCTTAGATTAATATATATTTTAGTTTTACTTTAAAATATTCTAATCACGTAGTTTCTCTTATAAAACCATAGTAAAGGTGTATGGTAACTGTTTTAATTTCAAATTATGAGAAATCCTCTTTTTCTGTGTACATGCAATGCCATCCCCCCCCACATTAAATATAAATACTGATACTATGGGAAAAAAATTATGACAATGAGGAAATAAAAAATTCCAATTTATGTCATGTGTACAGATTAGTAAAATTTTATTTTTACTGTCAATCTCAGCATTTCATGTGGAACCTCTCTTTTATCCAAGGAAGAAAAGACATTTTTGTTATATTCCTATGCAGTATTTATTAGTATCTCACTGCATCATGATAATGTTTAAAATATGTTTTTAATTTTTTTTTCAAATCTAAGTAACTCAGTTTTCCTGAATAGGTTTAGATCCACCTAATCCTAGTGCAAATGCAAGTGTTGGAAATTTGAACGGCATCTGCTCAGATATTCCTGCTAACCTGAATATTCACATAATCACTGCTGATGTGGGTGCAGTAGAAGGGATTGCACAGGAAGAGATACTCGGTGTACAGATCAGGTACAGCAGAATCATGGTGGTTGTTATATTTCATTAATATTGTGTTCAAATATAGTTGGACACTGTTGGGTAAATGAGACCAAAAATATGTAGATTTAAAAAAACAGTTGCTTACAGTTTTTTCATGATTATCTAGGGTTTTGTTTGGGTTTCCTCTTCTCCGTAATGTTTGCAACCCAAATCCAGCTGCTCTAATACATAATCAGTTTCACTTTCTGGTTAGCTTGTTTTCATTTTCAAGGTGAGATGTGCAAAAAGTAAATTATTGGTGAAAGATAAAATAGACTTATTAAAACTGAAACAATTAAAAAAAATGTCTCCTCCATTGTTGCTAGCAACAGCAGTAAGGAAATGTATTACTTTAAAATATTATTTTAACCTGACAGTCTTTTTATTAGCAGCCAAGTTTTTCTCTGGTTATAAATAACTTCACTTGTGTAACTTCACTTGATACACATTTGTAGCAAACTATATATTTGAAAGCCTGATAAGTGGAAAAACTCCGGAAGAAAATAACCAAAACTCATAAGTTTCAAGTGTCAAAAGCTCACGTTAGCAGTAAGTTTTATACATTCCATCTCATTAGATGAAGATAATATATAAACCTCTATAGGTAAAATTTTCTATTGTGTGTATGCCAAAGTTGTGACAGCAAAAAAAAAAAAAAAAAAAAAAGACATTTACCCATTGTCCATGCAAAATGAGCATTTGTTTGGACTGGCAAATGTGCATTGTTGCTTAGAGATCCTACCTGACTGCTATTCTGAGTACTGGTCATAGCCCTGATACTGACTGACTGAGTTACCCAGGGCAAGCCATTTAACTTCTCTGCAATTCAGTTTACTGCTAGGTAACATTGGCATGATACTTACCTGACTCACAGTGTGATGTGAGGCTTCCATCAATGTTTATTAAATGCTTTGTTAGCCATGATGAAAAGACAATATAAAAGTGAAAAGCATTTGTATTAAACTCAGTGTATTGAAATTTTAATTAGGATCGAGGAGAGTGATATTGCCCAACTCTGATTAAAATAGAGAATAACTAATAAAATTATGAAAATGCAGTGCAAGAATCATAGGTACATTGTAAATATTATTAAAAAACCCTTTATAAGATCAAATAGATGTCAGAGTATATATTTCCCATATAAATTACACTGATTGTATGTTAATTTTCTTTCAGTTTTTCAACAGTGATATGGCAATTCCAATGTGGGATTATCTGTGAAAATAAGTCCAGTTCTCTTCCTATCACTGCTTCAGTCCAGTTTATTAAAGTACCAGCTCAACCACCCATTCCAATGACAAGGTAACTTTTTATAGAAATCAGATATCTAACATCGACTATGAAGAAATGGAGTACTTGTGGCACCTTAGAGACTAACAAATAAATTTATTTATTTGTTAGTCTCTAAGGTGCCACAAGTACTCCTGTTCTTTTTGCGGATACAGACTAACACGGCTGCTACTCTGAAACCTATGAAGAAATACTAAATTAAAATAGCAATAATAAAATAGTAAATTTGGTTTGCCAGAAAATAGTCATTAGGTTTGAGGCCTGGTTAGACTGCACTGAATCACAGCTGTTCTATCAGTTAAGTGTCAGTTTCTGTGAAGTGCCTTAAATCCTACTAAATCAGTTGACTCTCAATGGGAGTTGAAGGGTACTCCGCATCTAGGGCCTCATCCTACAACGTTTACTCATGTGACAAGTCCCTCAGTAGAATTATTTGTGTGAGATTCACTCAAATGGATAACGGGTGCTGAACCCTAAACTGACACTTGTAGGTACATTCAAACAATTACGTTATTATTTCTAAAGCATAGTGTTTGTTCTCTTGCTACTAGAACCATAGAATTATATATGGAAAGGTCTGTTAGGTCAGCCCCAATAAATCAAGCTTGTTTCTTATAGTAAACTTTATATTGCTTTGTCCAGTCTAGTTTTAAATTTCTCAAGAGATGAGACTTTCTTTCAGAAAACTATGTTATGGACTAACAATTCTTACCATAAATAATTTTTTCCCATTATATTCAATCTAAATTTTCCCGTCTCAGTTTAATCCCAGTTCTTCTGGTTTAAAACCCTGGTACTACCCCGAAAAGAATCCTCTTTGTTGGTGTAAATCTGTGCTCATCACAAGAAGGAACATTCCCTTAAATCATCCCATGGCTAAAAATGAGAGATATTGATCAGAAAGGAAGTCTTCAGGTTTCATGCTCCTGTTTTAATTGATCTTTCATGAAAAAATAGTTTCATGAAGAAACAGCTGCAAGATTATTTAATCCAAACAGCTTTCTAATTTTTTTCCCTTTATTTGCACTGGTGCCTGGTTGTACCATAGTTGCAATTTAAGTTTTTTTTTAAATTGTGTTTGTAGATTTCAGATTAACTATACAGAATATGACTGCAATCGAAATGAAGTTTGCTGGCCACAACTATTTTATCCATTGACATGGTATTACACAGGTAAAAAAGTAGTGTGTGTGGAGTACAATGTATTATCAGGATTTCTTCAAATATTAAAAAAAATCAGTTAAATTACATGATGCTTTGTAATAGGGAAGTGAAGTTCTCCTGTCTTTTGGAAATTGTGAGCTGTAAAGTATGTTTGTTAAATTGTTCTTTACGGTCCATGATTGGATTTATATTGTATCTTGGCAGATAAGTGGGGAAAAAATGAAGAATAGTTACCAGACTCAGTACTTTGTCAGTTCGCTTGGGGTTTATTGCTATTTTTAAAATGTTCTTTTAAGGAGAGTAAGGTTCCTTTTTTAGCCCCTTTCAAAGCTCTCTATCCCCCTGTGGCAGGACAATGACTCACTAGTGCAGCGCCTTCTGCTGATCGTCCTAGGGATTAGCTCTTCCAGCCCAGAGCGCCCTCTGCAGGCTGGTGTCTTGCCTGCCGCTGGCCCCCATGTCCCTCCCGGACCCCGGTGTCTCTCTTAGTCTCTGGCCCTCAGCCCTCTTATAGGGCCAGCTGTGGCCTGATTGGGACATGGCCCCACCTGTGGTTGCTTCCCCCAGTCAACCTCGCATTTCTCCGCCACAGCCCTCTCCAGGTCTGCTTTAACCCCCTCAGGGCAGGAGCGGGGTGACCACCCCACTACATCCCCATTCTGTTTAGTTTTCTTTTTTTCTGGCCAACCTACTTTATAAAAAAGAATGCATGGCTTGCTCTATAATACTGGCCTATTAGTCTGTCAAGTTCTGTATTCTGCCTTTGCCTGTAGCATTTGGCAACTTTCAGCTAATTGAGTTAGGAACTCCTGTGTTCCAATCCAGGCGTTGCCGTTTTGGTAGATCAGTTAACTTTTCAGTTTTTCCATTTGTAAAAGATGAGTATGATCTGCTTAATAGGGGGTTGCGAGGATTAAATAGCTGATGTTTGTAAAGCAAACTAAGGGTACATCTATACTTACTGCCGGACCCGGAGGTAAGCAATCGATCTTCTGGGATCGATTTATCACGTCCTGTCTAGATACGATAAATCGATCCCGGAAGTGCTTGCTGTCGACGCCGGTACTCCTGCACCACGAGAGGAGTACGCGGAGTCGACGGAGGAGCCTGCCTGCCGCGTGTGGACCCGCGGTAAGTTCGAACTAAGATACTACGTGAATAACGTAGCTGAAGTTGCGTATCTTAGTTCGAAGGGGGGGGGGTTAGTGTGGACCAGCCCAGAGGCACTGCTTCTGCAATGAGAACTGCAAGGGTACAGAGGACTGCCCCTACTGTTCTCAGCACAAGATTGAGGCCTCAAGTTGTTTTGTACTACATTATTTTATTCAGGTCCATGTTCAGTTGTTTTCTGTAGCTTTTTATCTTTGCCTAATTTTTAATTCAATATAAAAATAAAACTTTAGGGCCAGGGTTTTCATATCCTTATATTTATTCAGATTTTTTTTTTTCTTTCAGGAGAACCATACTCTCAGTGTCTTGCCAAAGGCTTGATACTAGCATTTTTCTTTCTACTCGCAGCTGTTCTGAGTAATCCTTGGAGCAGAATCCTTAAAGTGTGAAATAATACTACAGTTTAAAATTTGGGAGTATAAAGAGAACCATTTTATTAATGTGTTTTTTTACACTTTTGTATTCAACCAATGTTTCAATAAGTAGTACTTTTATTATAAATCTTGTGAAAAAAGTAATTTCTGGATTTTGTATATTTTTATATAAATACTCAGATGTAAAATTAATGTCTGTTCTATATAGAAAATGGTTGTATTAGGTTTTTAAAAAAAGAATGTTAATTAAGGGCTAGATCCTGTAAATGGATCTGCCAGAGTTCATTCCTGTGACATTGATTTAGGAGGTGCACTGCATGGGTGCAGAAATGTGCTTGGGTGGATTCATACCTAAACTGTAAGATGTTTGAGTATTTACCGATAAAAGATAAAAACTTCAGTTAATGATTAATTCAAGTACACAACTAGTGTTCTCTAAGCAATTAAAGATTGAGCTTTACAGTTAATTTAGTTTTTCCATTTTGCTGGATCACTCTGGAAATAAATCATTTGGAATAGTAGCAATAATCCCACTGGAGTTGGTTTCCCAAATGCCTTATCTGACTTACAGTAGTAGTCACTGTGTTTATTTCCCTTTGTGATGCTAAGTGTTGTTTAAAAATATATCTGCAAAGGAAAACAATTTCTCCTTCTGTACATGTTAACAAGAAGTATATTTTTAAAGAAAAGAATTGGCTGTTTTTTATTTTCTTAAGATAGTCTTCTTTTTCTTGCTTTTGCTGGATGACGCCATGGATAACTAGTGTGGAAATGTGATGATCTCAACTTTCCCAGGACTGAGAGTCATGTTTACCACTCCAGTGAGAGAGAGGCTTGCTTGTGCTAAACTGGGGGTCAGTGCCTTGATACCACCAGTCTGTTAGCCATCCAGACAATCTTCTCTGAGTCATCCTAGTCCTTACTCTGTTTTACAGGTTAACCTTAGGTGCATTCCAGTCCCCAAGCCCCTCTGAAGAGTTCCCATGTAGTGTTCAGCCCTTTATGCACTGAATACTCGCAGAAAACAGCATACACACCAGCTTGACTGATTCAACTCCGGGTCAGCTCCTTGTACAATACCTCAGCACTGAGATATATTTGTAGTGAAAACAATCATAAGTTTATTATTAAAGATCAAGATTCAAGAAATAGTGAGTAAGGATAATAAAACAAAATCAATACATGATTTCTAGAGACTAGACTTAACAGGCTAACGTCCTGGCTAGAACAGTTTTTTCTCAACCAAAACCTCTTGCAGACATAAATTCCACCTCCTCCCCCCCCCTTCACAGGTGACCTCTTTACAAAAATATATATGTACTGTATGTTGTGGTTTGAAATAGATACATTTAGAAAGATGCAGTTACTGCATAAAAGCAGGAATTAAAAAAAAAAAACTAGACTTAAGTGGGATATATTAAAAATTGCCAGGAACTAGCCTATTTTACTGACCAAAGGCTCCATCTAGCCTGGTATCTTGTCTTAAACAGTGGCCTAACACCAGTGCTGCAGCAGGAGGTGACTCAGCTCTGCACAATCAACCTGGCCAATTATGCACTACACTGCCTGAAGATGGAGTTGTGGGTGGAAGTTCCAACTGATGATCACCTGCCTTGAAGAATAAAGATTAATAGATCATGTAACTTTTAGCCTATTTTTTACTCATCTGTATATAATTCTTTAATTGAAACTGGACTCTTTATTTTAGTATCTTGCAACTTTGTGTTCTATAGGATAATTATGAGGTGTATAAAGCATTTATTTTCTTGTATCCATTTAAAATTTAAGTGCTCTTATCTTATGGGACATGATAAAAAATAACAGCTTACTTATCTATCTAAAAGTATATAGTCTTTATAATCTCTCCCCACTCCTCTTTCTAAGCAAAAATATTTTGCTCTTCTAAATCTGTTCTTGTATGGAGGTTTTGCCATCTGTCCTAGCTACTGGATCATTTTAGAGACAGAGTTGGGGGTAGCTGTTTCATGCTTGGGACAATTTGAATGGGATTGTAAAGAAAAATGATTGAGTAATGGATATGACAGTAAATGTCTCAATTACTATTTTTATTCATATCATTAAAACACATGTCTCAAAGTCTCATTTTCATAAGGGAGAGGCTTTAAAAATGACTGAATTTTCCCAGTTAAGGAATTTCCTTACCTCCAATGGATGAGACTTAGAGCAGGCCTGAGAGGTAAAGACAATCCAAGATTCTGAGGAAAGAAGAGGACAGTTTATTTTTTGCTGATGAAGCAGATTTTCTGTCCTTGCATCTCCCTCCAAAGGGCCTGGGGATTTACTTTAATGCTAGTTTCAAAGTCCTCCCCTTTGGGGTGGAGGAAAGTGTTTTGTAGTTTGCTGAGGACTGGATCCATTTGCCACATCCTTGGGGATTAATCAAGCCCACAACCATCCCTGATCTACATTTTCCAAACCCAAAGCTAGCTAATGAGGTTTTCCAAACCAAACTGCTGTTTTTCAGTCCCTTCTTTGTTAGACATAAGATAATAGACCCAAACTTCAGTGGTTAAGCTGAACTACCTTGAAAACTGGGGGGGAGGGGTAAAATGTGACCCAGATGGGAGCTGGGTCTGGTGACGCTTTCCATGTGGGTTGTCTCAATTGAAGGTGCCTTCAGTAGGGAGAAAAGGTGTACTCTTAACTCGAGGTAACTAACTAATACAAGATAAACGCCTAGTGAAGACCGGGTAGTTGTAGTTTTCACACAAGTTAGCAGGCTCCCTACAGTTTTAAGGCGCCCTTCTCTGCCAAAAGCGTTGGGGTTTTACGAGATAACTGACCCGGCTCAGGTGTGTGGCTGTAAATCCTGAAAGGAGCCAAGGCTCAGTAGTTTTCATCAGGCTGGAGCTAAGGGACATCAACCCCCTGGGAGGAGAAGGGGGGTGAGCTGGCTGATCTCTGTGGTGTAGACAGCAGGCGGTCCGGGGAACTCGTTGGAACGCTTCATCCCGCCTCGGGTAGTGAATTCTCCCTACACCTCGCTCCCCAGCCAGAGCGCCGAGCGAGCCCCGGCCCCGGCCCGGCTGGCGGCTGCTCTGAGAGGAGCCTCCGCCCTGGCCCTTTTCCCCGCGCGCTCTGCCGCTCGGCCCGGAGGCGGGGCGGAAGAGCGCAGGGCTCGCCGCCGCTCGGCCCGCGCTCCCCCGGCCTGCTGAGAAGGGTTAGACACCGGAAGCGGCTGGAGTTGCTGCTCGCGGACGCAGGAGCTGAGCTCTCTCCATGGCCCCGGGGATGGGGGAGCCCGCCAAAGCCCGCGGGAGGCGGTCGCGCTACAGGGCCCGGTGATCCTCTTCAGCCCGTTTGGCGTGTGGGTGCCGGGTGGCCGCAGCCTCCCCCCCCTCTCCGGCCCAGGGCTCATCATGGGCTCCCTGTTCCGCAGCGAGAGTATGTGCCTGGCCCAGCTCTTCCTGCAGGCGGGCTCGGCCTATGAGTGCCTCAGCGAGCTGGGCGAGA